CAGATGGCTCTGAGCAGCCATGTAGATGCTGCATACTGAAGGAACCTAGATCCTCTGTAGGAGTAGTAACCTCTCTTAACCATTGACTCATCTCTCCAGCTGTCAAATTGATCTTAACAAAAAGATTGAAAATGGTCCTGTATTACACATCTTACGTGTATTGGTGCATATGCCCTGGTGCATGTGTTAGTCAAACTTGCATGACTTGGTTCTTTCCTTCTATCACGTAGGTGTTTGAAATGGATGTAGCTTGGGGAAACATACAAGAGGCCTAGGGACCAGACCCCAGCACTGCCTGAAATAGGATAATGGAGGCTCATAAGTCTTCTCTAATCCCAGCCACTCCGGAGGGGTAGACTGGAGGATTAGGATTTCAAGCTCATTTTCTGCTGTAGCCAGCCCTCGGTATACCTGATTTATATTAAACCCTGTCTCAGACCAACAGAAAAAAGCATATGTCCTTCCCTCCATGTAGTTCCTGGGCTTGAACTCAGATCATTAGGCTTGACCGTAGGCCTCTTCACCTGCTAAATCGTCTCAACATTCAGTGCAGCCCTAGGTTTAAGTTTTTGTTTTCGTTTGTTCTTACAAACACCCTCCCCCGGGGGGGGGGGGAACTAAATAATATTATTGCACAACTGGGTTTCTCTAGCTTTGGAGCCTGTCCTGGAACTAGCTTTGTAGACCAGACTGGCCTCAAATTCACAGAGATCTGCCTGTCTCTGCCTTCCGAGTGCTGGGATTAAAGGTGTGTGCCACCATTGCCTGGCCTAGGTTTAAGTTTTTAATAGAGCATAAATAGTATGGATATTGTTTGCTTTATATACTACAAGTTTAAAAGGAACGTATCCTATATTAAAATATTCAAGAGTGAATAATTATGCTTACTAATACATTTTTGTTAACTAAATAGTATTATGTGTGCTGATTTTTAGTTCCAGAAGGCTGATTCTGATTTGGATTACATTCAATATAGGCTGGAGTATGAAATCAAGACTAATCACCCAGATTCAGCCGGAGAGGTAATTGGAAAATTAGCAAATTCTTTTGTTTTTTTTTTTTTCAAGACAGGGTCTCACTAAGTAGCTCTGACTGTCCTAGAACTCACTATATAGACCAGACTGATGTTAGTGTCACAAATATCTGCCTGCATCTACCTCCCGAGTGGTGGCATTAAGGGTGTGCACCTCTGTGCCTCCTAGGTAGTTCTTTTTAATGGAATGCTTTGTACAAAGACTTTCTGGTAATATCTCTAATAGTAATATGTTCGCACCCAAGCTTTTCTTAAAAGATTTATTCATTATGTATACAATGTTCCTCCTGCTTGTACACCTCTATGCCAGAAGAGGGCACCAGACCTCATTACAGATGGTTATGAGCCGTCATGTGCTTGCTGGGAATTGAACTCAGAACCTCTGGAAGAGCAGCCAGTGTTTTTAACCTCTGAGCCATCTCTCCAGCCCCCTCAAGCTTTTCTTTTAAATGCTAGGTTTGTAGAGTCACAAAATCTTGTTTTAATGGAAGATTGCTCACGGTATACTGAAGTGATTCTACTTATTTTCCCAAGAGAAAAGAACATATGTTTAATAGAATGACATGTATGTAAATATTTTGTTGTTGTTGTTGCTTTTTGTTTTTCAAGACAAGGTTTCTTTGTTAGCCCTGGCTGTCCTGGAATTCACTTTGTAGACCAGGCTGGCCTTGAAATCACAGAGATCTGCTTGCCTCTGCCTGCCTAGTGCTGGGATTAAAGGCATGTGCCACCACTGCAGTCTTACATGCTAACTTTTAAAAACAGTTAAGGAACTCAAAAGTCATGAGGAAGCCTCTGAAGTGACAAGACAGAAAGTTCTACCTCTGAAATAGTGGTTTGTAACTGAAGGGCGAAAGGTTAGTAGTCATGATAGTTCACTGGAAAAGATGATATGTTGTTAAGTTTGCTTTATTATAGATATGAACAGTGATTTTTGAATAAAGTTACGTAATTATTTTTACTGGTTCCTCCCTCCCCCTTTTCAACTTGACACAATCCATGGTCATTTGGGGGGAACGTCAATTGAAAAAAATACCTTTATCAGACTGACCTGTAAGCAGGTCTGTGAGCATTTCCTTTTTTTAATAATTGATGTGCATGGCCCAGCTCACTGTAAGCAGGGCCCTCCCTGGGCAGATGTCCCTGGGTTGTATAAGATAGCAGGCTGGACTAGTGATGGAAGCAAGTGAGGAAGCAGTGTTCCTCCATTACCTCTGCTTCCATTCCTGTCTCCCTCCAGAGTTCCTTCCCAGACCTCCTTTTAGGACGGACTGACTGGGATGAATATGCTAAATAAACCTCCCAGACATGGTTTTGGTCTGTGTTTTATTACAGCAGTAGAAAGCAAACCAGAACAATATTGAAGGTTACATTGCTTAGAAATTACTAACATTATTAATTTTGAGTCTCACTGTGTTGCTTAGGCTGGTCTTCATTTCTGGGCTTAAGTGAGATCCTCTGCCCCAGCCCCTAAGTAGCTGGAATTACAGGTGCATGCCCACTGATGCAGAGTTCTGTTTATGTAACATAATTCATGCCTTTTAAGCATATATGTCCATGGGAAAGGAAACAATCTCCATCTATGGTCTGTTGGTAGTATAGTCGACAGGATTTGACAATAGACAGGAAATAGCACATTTGAATTAAAAACAAACCCATACATTAAAGAAATTATTTTAGGCTGGACATGATACTGCTCACCCATAATTGTCAGTAATTGGGGGACAAGTTAAAGCATCACTATAAACTTTTAGCTAACCTCTTTATGTGTGTTTGGGGCAGTTAGGTCTACATAATGAGATTCTGTCTAAAAAAACCACAGAAGAATCTCAAACAAAACTTTGGTTTTGCAAGTTCAAGGCTAGCCTGAACTTTGAGCAAACAAACACAGTAAGGTATACAATTCTGTGGATTTTCGTTCTGTAGCTCTTCCCACAATAATTTTTTAAAAATTATATTACTGGACTGGGCTGTGGTGGTGTATGCCTTCAATCCCAACACTCAAGAGACAGAGGCAGATGAATTTCTGTGAGTTTGAGACCAGCCTAGTGTACAGTGTGAGTTCTAGGACAGATAGGGCTGTTAAGCAGAGAAACTGGAAGTCCCCCACTCCAAAAACATTAATAATAGTGATGTGGTGTGTGTGAGGAGGTTAGAGGACAACTTTTGAAGTTAGTTCTCCATGCGTTCCTCAGATTGAATTCAAGCCATCAGGCCTGCAGGGTAAGTACTTCATTTACTGAGTCATCACCAGCCCCTGCTTTAGATCTTAACTTTTACAATTTATATTACCCTACTTATTGAATGTCTTTATCATGAGAAAGAAACCTCATTCCCCATTACCCTATTCCCACACCTGCCAGTTCATGGCATCAATTAATTTATTTTATTCCCATACACGTATTACTGTAAACATTTTATAAAAATGGAAGTATAAGTATGTGGTTGTCTTACCTTTCACTTAGCATGTTTTCAGGGTTCATCCATGTTGTAGCATGAGCAGTCCTTAATTCCTTTCTATTGTTAAAATTATCTGTTGTATCCCATTTGTTTATCCACTTATCAGTTAGATAGCAGTCTGGCCCAACTTTTAGGCTACAGTGAATAATGCCCCTATGAACGTTCATGTAGAAGTCCTGGGGTGCCACATACTTTCATTTCTGTGGGTGAAATTTCTGGCCATAGAAACAACTCATACTCGATATTTTGAAAAAACATCAAAATGTTCAAAATAGTTATCATTAAAACGATCCTTTTGGTAGTTTGAAACAGTTTCCGCATATAGTCTAAGTTAGCCTTAAGCTTCTAAAGCCCAGGCTGGTCTCAAATTTGCTATGTAACCCAGGATGCTCTGGAACTTCTTTCTATTTCAACCTCCCATTTGCTGGGGTTACAGACATCTGCCACTGTGCTTGACCTGGTAAATCTTTTGAAGTGTACTTTTCAGATGCTGTTGCACATTTACCTTGTGTAGCTCTGTCTGTCCTGGAACTCACTCTGTTGACCAGGCTGGCCTTGACCTCACAGAGATCTGCCTGCCTCCACCTCCCGAGTGCTGGGATTAAAGGTGTGCACCATCATCACCCAGCTATCTCAGCAAATTTTCATCTTTCTCAATTTAACACACTGTACTCATTAAACAGTAACCTTCCATAATCCTTTCTACCCAACTCCATCACCTAAAACTACCATTCTACTTTTAGTCTTTGTGAATTTTACTATTCTAGATTCTGTATTTGTTCATTTGTGATTGGCTTATTTCACACATTTATGAATATCCTCAGGATATCCAGATTATGGGCTTTCCAAGCAGGACTAACATCCCGAGTTCAAATCCCTGAACCCATAGTGAAAGGAGAGAATTTACCCTTGAAAATCATTCTGCAACCTCCACTTGTACACATACTTGATTCATTTATCATTGTCAGAATTTCCTTTAAAAATTTTAAAATATTTCCTTATGGTTTTGTGTGTAAGTGTGTGTATATATAAACAAGAGGAGGCCCTCTGTAACTTGGTATGGTGGTCCATACCTTTAATCCCAGCACTCAGAGGCAGAAGCAGGTGGATCTCTGAGTTCCAGGTCAGCCTGGTCTCTGTAGACCCGTTTTAGATCAACCAGAGTTGTATAGTAAGTAGTAGTGACTAAACTATTACAAACTACAAATGTGATAGAATGTGTTGTACAGGGGGCTGGAGAGATGGCTCAGCAGTTAAGAGCATTGCCTGTTCTTCCGAAGGTTCAGAGTTCAAATCCCAGCAACCACATGGTGGCTCACAACCATCTGTAATGAGGTCTGGTGCCTTCTTCTGGTCTGAAGGCATACATGTAGACAGAATATTGTATACATAATAAATAAATGAATATTTAAAAAAAAGAATGTGTTGTACATATTACTTTCTAATAATAAGCTTAATTTTCTCACTACATCATTAATATATATTAACCTTATTTTTTCTGATATAGAAAAATCCAGGTGAAATTTTAAAGGAATTATCAGCAATAAAGTCTCGATATCAAGCTTTGTGTGCACGCTTTAAGCCACTTTCTGTTGAGCAAAAAGAGAACAAGAGCCGCATTTGTGCTACTCTGAGCAAGACAATGACCATTGTACAAGAACTACAAAAGCAAACAGACCTGGAGGTAATGTCCTTAGTTGACAGATTGGATTTATGAAGTTTTAGTTGTGAATATTGTTTTAAATATTAAAACCCCAATATATTGTGCGATGTCCAGGCACAACTTCCAGATACTTGGATGTGACTGAGTTGGTGAGGGAATGAAGCAAAGACAGACAGACACACAGACAGAAATGCTGGAATTTGGTAGCCTGTCCTCTTTAGAGAAGCCTTAGCATCCCAGGAGCTCCGTGTTTTTTATGTAGAGTTGAACAGGGACAGAGTTATTGCACATGGCTGAACAAGGAAGTGGGTTTATTACATACAGAATTTATGGTATACAGGAGACAGGTTTAGCTAATAGGAACAAGCCATCTCTACAGGAGGGCAGTTTTCAGGCCATAAATATCTAGAGCGGGAAAGCTATGGTGACATTTTCTGCACACTGTCAACAACACACATTCACTCAGGACTTTAGTCACCAATGGCTCTACTTCCTACCATGTTGGAATGTAAAATTTAGTAGTCAGTTTAAACTATTGATAGAAATTATATTTTCTTGATTCCCTGAAACTTAATTGCTTTTCTTTTTAGTAAAAGATTAAAAAAAAAAATCATGTCAATTTGAGTTAGTGAAAAGTACTGTCCTGTAACCATGACAGAAGAGAAAAGTTAAATTTACTCAACTTATAACATGAAGCAACTCTTTTTTTTTGTAATTGGACACAGGATGGTCTCATTGTGTAGCACTAGCTTGGACTCAAAGCAGTTCTCCTGCCTCAGCCTCCTGAGTGCTGGAATTATAGACATGTGCCTCCACACTGGGATTCTCCTGGGTCAGACAGGAACTAGTAGTTGATGCAAAGTCAGACAGAGTGGCAATTACCTAATCCCAGCACTTGGGAGGTGGCAGCAGCAACAACAAAAAGTCCTCCTCTCTTCCCCCCAAAAGTCATAGGCTCATCTGATCTATATAGTGAGTTCCAGGACTCGGCAGTGAGACCCTTTCTTAAAGAGAAACCTAACAGCAAACTGTTTAATGGCAACCTGGGCTACAGAGTAAGATCCTGCCTCAACAACAAACCAAAGAACAAAACAAACCAAACCAACCAAACAAAAAAGCCCAGAAAGGACTGGAGATGTGTAGTGCTTACCCAACATGTATGAGGCCTCAGGTTCAGTCCCCAGAACTGCATGAACTGGGCATGGTGGGCTACATGTGTGACCTCAGCACTTGAAGCAGGAGGATTGGAAGTTAGAGGTCATCCTTGTCTACAAAGGGAGTTGGAGGCCAGTTTGTTATTCATGAGATCATATCTCAAAAAAATGGAAGGAAGGGAGTAAGGGGCCAGAGAAGCCCCATATTAGTAAGACATCAAATGTTGATGGTACACCCTGTAATCTCATCTCTTGGAAAACAGAAGCAGAAGGACTGCCATAATTCCAGGCCAGCTGGGACTACATAGCAAGACATTGTCTGAAAAAAAAATAGGAAAAATAAAAGTCATAACATACAGATGATTTTAACCTTTTTTATTGGTTTTGTTTGTTTCAGATGTATGTAGCCTTGGCTGGCCTGGAACTCGGTATGTAGATCAGTAGACCAGGCTGATGTTGAATTTAGAGAACTCTACCTGTCTCTGCCGTTCAAATGATAGGATTAAAGTCATGCACCACCATGCTCTAGACCTTCCAGTGTATGTATTGGGGGATCAAAGTCAGTGCCTTGTTCATGCTTGCGAAGCACTCTACTATGGAGCTATATATATATCCTGCTGGGTTTTTTGTTTTGTTCTGTTTTGTTCTTTTAAATCTCCTTTTCTGGAGTGGAGTAGGTATAATTGACTAGGTCAGACCTTCTTCATCTTCTCCTTCCATCCTCCTCTCTATCTTATTTGATTTTTTAAAAAATATCTATTTAACTTTTTATTTTTTGTGTATTGGTATGATGGTTACAGACAGTTGTGAGCTGCCATGTGGGTGGTAGGAATTGAACCTGGGTCCTCTGTGAGAGCAGCGAGTCTCTTAACCACTGAGCCATCTCTTAAGCCCCAAACTATTTCTTTTTGGTTTTTGAGACAGTTTCTCTGTAGCTTTGGTGCCTGACCTGGAACTCACTTTGTAGATCAGGCTGGCCTTGAACTCAGAGATCTGCCTGTCTCTGCCTCCTGAGTGCTGGGATTAAAGGTGTGTGACACCACCACCTGGCCTTATTTGGTTTAAGAATTCTTAAAATTGTGAACTAACATTATTGATATGTAAAGACTCCTCAGATATGTTGTGATATAAAAACATCAGCTACTGTGCTAGGCACCAAGAGTTTGAACTGAGAACTGAATGATTTAGTAGGATTTTCATGCAATATCAATGAAAATTTGGGGGTTCAGACAGAAGAGATTTCTGTAGAAGGGATCAAAGAATAGAACTAGATTGGATAAAGATCTTCAGTTTGTTTGTTTTTGTTTTTGAGACAGGGTTTCTTTGTGTTACAGTCCTGGCTGGCCTGGAACTTGCTTGGTAGACTAGGCTGGCCTCGAACTCACTGAAATCCATCTTCTTCTGCTTTCCTATTGCTTGGACTAAAGGCGTATGCCACCACCACCTGGCTAAGCTCTTCAATTATATTTATGGTGTTATTAGTACTGAATTCTCTCTTGAATTTTTTAAAGATTTATTTTTATATGTATGAGTGTAGTTTACATGTAGTTATGTAGTGTGTATGTACCAGATGCCCATAGAAATCAAAATGTGGGTGCTGGGAACCAAACCTGGGTTCTCTACAAGAGGAACAAGTGCTTTTAACCACTGAAACATCTCTAGCCTGACCTTGAGCTTCTGATCCTTCTGTCTTTACAAGAGTGGGATTGAATCCAAGGTTTGATGTATGCTAAGCAAGTATCTACCAACTAAACCACAGTTTAACCTGTTATTACCATTCACGTCACACTTTTGTCATTATGTTTGACCAAAATTTGACACTAGGAACACATTTTCTTGGGAAATAAATCTTGGAAACTATGTGACTTCACATGTCCTTATCAACATATCTACCTACAAAACCATGAAACTGTAGAAAAATTGGAGTGAGTGACCAAAGAGAAAAGTAATATTTTGTATGCCTTAGAATACAATATCTTGCTGGATATACTAAATAGTGCCATTATTTCTCACTAGATTATTAAGACATTCATTCAGACACTAGTAGAAATATCTGAAACGAGCAATAATTATGTCACATAAAGACAACTCTGGGAACTTTAAGTTTTGGAACAGATTATGGCAAGTAGGGGAAATGACTGGAGAGCAAGTTATGAGCCTTGAAAAAGGAAGCTGTATTTTAGAGTTATGGTGGCCATTTGGGATGGTATGCATCTTGTACCATCACTTTAAAATGAGACAAACAGGGGGCTGAGCAATTAAGAGTGGTAAGAGCACACATACTGCTCTTCCAAAGCACCCAGAACCCATGAGAGGCTCACAACCTTGTGTTAACTCTGGTTGCAAGGGTTGTTTCCTTTGACCTAGGATATAATACATGTACACACCCACACACATATATACATATAATTAACAACTTTATCTGTTTATTTCTGTTTTTTGAGACAGGGTCTCAGTATGTACCTCTGTGCTACCACACACCATACACATAATTTAAAATGACAAAAATGAATGTAATTAAAATTTTTTAGACTATCTACCATGTTTCAAACAATTGTGAAAATTTTTGTTTTGTGTGCAGTGTTCTCTCCGTATTTAATGCCTGCAGGCCAGAAGAGGACACCAGATCTCATTACAGATGGTTGTGAAACAACATGTGATTGCTAGGACTTGAACTCAGGACCTCTGGAAGAGCAGCCAGGGCTTTTAACCTCTGAAAAATTTCTCCAGCCCACCGGAAGGAATATTTTTAAAAAATGAGATTTTAAAGTTCGGTGAAATTACAGATGTGGTATTCAGACTTAGAGACACTCAAGTTTAAAGGAGGTGGATTAATGAAATCCTTATATTGTCAACATGTCTGTTATTTAAATGTGAAAGAAAAGAGAATGCACTTATTGAGGGTTGAATAGCCAAAAATAGCTCTCAACCTAGAGCTTAAAGGACATGCAATTCAACTGTGAGTATAACTCAGTGGCTGGCATGTGTATAGCTCAGTGAGTATAACTTAGGTGTAGGTTAATGACTTGGCTTATGCAAGGCCCTGGGTTTGAACCTCAGTATTAGCAGAAAGAGACTTTTGTAAAACAAAGTCATGTAGAATATAATCTGTAAAAGAATTTCAAATTTAATTCTCCAGTAATGAGGACAAATGTTTGAGAATAAAGTCAAAGGCTACATTTAACTAAAGATTTGTTAAAATGCTCTAAAATAACCTAAAAGGCTTTTCCATTATTTTGTGAGCATGAAGAACAACAAAGTATGTTTAAGGAAACTGGTATTTTGTTTATATGCAGCAGAAAGTAAAACTGTTCAGGTATTGCTATAATCTTTTCCAGTGGCTTCATTAGGAAAGGCAACACAATGTCTTTGAATTAGCAGCATTCAAAAGGACACTTAAATTGAGCATCTTAATACATAGGAGCCAAGAACAGAAAAGGAAGTGGGGAAAAAGGCATTCATAGAAACTTCTAAGATATGGAGGTTTAAGTGTGCTCAATTATAAAGGTTGTTACTAGAGAGAGACATTTGTACCTAAACAAGTTGAGTATGGTGGTCATGCCTGTAAGTGCAATACTTGGAAGACCAAGGCAGGATTCATGTGAATTCCAAAACAGTATGGTCTACAGAGTGAGATTATGTTTGAAAACAGACAAAAAAATACCAAAACACCCAGAGCAAAAATATAATTATTGGCAATAAGAAATGCTTTAAAGAGTGTAGTTTTTTTTTATTTATTTTATTTATTTTTTTCTTTTTTGTTTTTTGAGACAGGGTTTCTCTGTAGCTTTGGAGCCTGTCCTGGCTCTTGTAGTCCAAGCTGGCCTCGAACTCACAGAGATCCGCCTGCCTCTGCCCTTTAAATGCTGGGATTAAAAGCATGTGCCACCACCGCCCGGCTTTTTTATATTTATTTATTTATTTATTTATTTATTTATTTTATTGATATTTATTGAGCTCTACATTTTTCTCTGCTCCCCTCCCTGCCTCTCCCTTCCCCCTTCAACCATCCCCCAAGGTTCCCATGCTCCCAATTGACTCAGGAGATTTTGTCTTTTTATACTTTCTACTTCCCATGTAGATTAGATCTTTGTAAGTCTCTCTTAGTGTCCGCATTGTTGTCTAAGTTCTCTGGTATTGTGGTTTCTAGGCTGGCTTTCTTTGCTTTATGTTTAAAAACCACTTATGAGTGAGTACATGTGATAATTGTCTTTCTGTGTCTGGGTTACCTCACTCAAAATAATATTTTCTAGCTCCTTCCATTTTTCTGCAAAATTCAAGCTGTTGTTATTTTTTTTCCTGCGGTGTAGTACTCCATTGTGTAAATGTACCACATTTTTCTTATCCATTCTTCAATCGAGGGGCATTTAGGTTGTTTCCAGGTTCTGGCTATGACAAACAAAGCTGCTTTGAACATAGTTGAGCACGTGTCCTTGTGGTACAATTGAGCATCCTTTGAATATATACCTAAAAGTGGTATTTTTGGGTCTTGAGGAAGGTTGTTTCCTAATTGTCTGAGAAATCGCCACACTGACATCCAAAGGGGGTGTACCAGCTTGCATTCCCACCAGCAATGCAGAAGAAGTGTTCCCTTTATTTCACAACCTCTCCAGCATAAGTTGTCATCAGTGTTTTTGGTTTTGGCCATTCTTACAGGTGTAAGATGGAATCTCAGATTTGTTTGGATTTGTATTTCTCTGATGACTAAGGATGTTGAACATTTCCTTAAGTGTCTTTCACCCATTTTAGATTCCTCTGTTGAGAGTTCTCTGTTTAGGTCTGTACTCCATTTTTTTTAATTGAATATATGATCTTTTGGTGTCCAATTTCTTGAATTCTTTGTTTATTTTGGAGGTTAGACCTCTGTCTGGTGTGAGGTTAGTGAAGATCTTTTCTCATTCTGTAGCTATCGTTTTGTCTTGTTGACTGTGTCCTTTGCTTTACAGAAGCTTTTCAGTTTCAGGAGGTCCCATTTATTGTTTCTCTCAGTGTCTGTGCTACTGGGGTTATATTTAGGAAGTGGTTCCCTGTGCTAATGTGTTCAGTGTACTTTCCACTTTCTCTTCTATGAGGTTCAATGTGGCTGGCTTTAAGTTGAGGTTTTTGATCCATTTGGACTTGAATTTTGTGCATAGTGATAGATATGGTTCTATTTTCATTTTTCTACATGTTAATATCCAGTTATGGCAGCAGCACTTGTTAATTATGCTTTTTTTTCCATTTGATATTTTTTGCTTCTTTATCAAAGATCAGGTGTTCGAAGATGTGTGGATTGGTGTCCTGGTCTTCTATTCGGTTCATTGGTCCTCCTGCCTGTTCTTATGCCAATACCAGACTGTTTTCAGTACTGTAGCTCTGTAGTAGAGTTTGAAGTCAAGGATTGTGATGCCTTCAGAAGTTCTTTTATTGCCCAGGATTGTTTTGGCTATCCTGGGTTTTTTGTTTTTCCAAATGAAGTTGAGCACTGTTCTTTTGAGGTCTTTGAATTTTGCTGGGATTTTGATGGGCATTGTGTTGAATCTGTTAAAGAGTGTATCTTATTTCATTGAAAGATGCTTCAAATAACTCTTTGTTGGGAAAAAATACTACAGGGATTAGAGAAATGATTCAGCAGTTAAGAGTACTTGCTGCTGTTGCAGAGCACCCGAAATGGGTTCCCAGCACCATGTGGCCGCATATAGTAGTTGTTCATGCCAGTTTTAAGGGATTGGAGACTCTCTACTGCTTCTCTGGGTCTGTACACATAGTGTACCTTCACACAGATATACATATACATAAAGAAAATACTTTTTTGCTTGTTTTTATGACAGGGTCTCTCTGTAGTCCTCGCTGTCCTGGAACTTGCTATAGACAGGCTTTCTTTGAACTCACAGAGAGCCTCCCAAGTGCTGAGATTAAAGGTGTGCCCACCACACATAGCCAAAACAAAAACCCAAAACAACAAGTTACATCAAACTTCAGACTGGTTAAGTTGGCCTTAATTCTAGGAAAAAGCCTTTGTGGACTTATTAAATATATTGCCTGAGAACTCTTCCCTAGTAATTGTAGGAACAATGGGAAATTATTGAGAATATGTGTTGTTACATTAATATCATTCCCTGATTTGAAGCAGATGAGCTCTGCACGTGTTTCATTTGCAGAGTTTGTGCTCATAATATTATAATGTGAACATGTTGGGCTGATGTTGATCTGTCAAACAAGCTGCATAGAAGAGGAATGGGGTTCTGAGATCTTGGAGAATGAGGCTATCCCACAGCCACATATGGCTGTAGAAAGTTAAATATGATTACTTGAAACTGAAGATGCAGTTCTTCATCCCTGCTCCAGCAGTGCACACACAGATTATTTCCAGCACTGTGGAAAGTTTTAGAGGATGGTGGTGCCCTGGAGATGCTGATTCTGTAGTTCTGTCATGCTCCAGATTTGGCAGTCTCTCTAGAGATGACCTATATAATTAGACCGATTTGTAACTATTTTAGAGGTTTGAGCCGTCGCTTGTGTTATTTTCCCACATAACCCTTTTCTCAGCCAACCTGTTGGTGTTCTCTGAAAATCCTTTATTGTTTATCCCTCTCTCCTTTTTGGCTCTTGCTCCCACCTGCTTTGAGTGGATGGTTATTTATGTTTTCTCATCATCTGTTCTTATTACCTATTAGAGTACTTGCTTTCTTTTCTTTTCTCCCTTTCTTTCCTCCTGAGACACAGTTTCTCTGTGTAGCCCTGGTTGTCCTGGAATTTACTCTGTAGACCAGGCTGGCCTCAAATTCAGAGAGTCTCCTGTCTCTGTCTCCCAAATGCTGGGATTAAAGGTCTTCACCGCTGACACCACTTGGCTTCTTATTTATTTTTAAAATAGTTTTTGAGATGAGGTCTTCAAAATTTAGAACAAGCTTATTTCCCTGGGGAAAATGTCATAGTGTTTTGTTTTTTTCTCCCAAATACGGTATCCAAACATTAATTTAGCTCTGTTAAACAATAGTCCTTAATTTAATTTCTTTTTAAAAAATATTTTTATTTTATGTGCATTGGTGTTTTACCCTTATATTTGTCTGTGCGAGGGTGTCAGATCCTTGGAAGTTGTAAGCTGTCATGTGGGTGCTGGGAATTGACCCTGGGTGTCTGGAAGAACAATCAGTGCTCTTAACTGCAGAGCTAGTCCTCCAGCCCAATTTGTTTGATTTCTTGATCTTGTTTGTACAGCCTAATTGCAAGTTCTTTGAAAGCTCAATCACGGAATATAAATAGCCAAATGGCTATTGCTTTCCCTTGCCTTCCAAGTTTTATGATTAAATGTATAGTATAATCTTACAAAAACATTTGTGATACAAAGCAAAATTTAACTCGTTTAACAAGCTCTGACGTTTTTTGAAATAAATATTTTGTAATTTGTTTTCTAGCTGACTCTACTGACTGAAGAAGAGAAAGCTGTGACAGAGCAATTAAAATCTCACATGCCAGACTTATAAAAACCTGGAACTCTAATGGAAAAAAGGTCCGTTCCAAAGAGATTCAGCAAGATGTTGTATTAATGCTTGGTATCATTAATTCTCCAAGGGGTGGGAGGCTGATAAGGAAGATTGAGATTTTCCTTGAGTGTCAGAATCATGAGAGGAAATTATAAGAAGTGTAGATTATCATATGAATAAAAGCCAAAAGGTAAGGATATTTTAATGCTGATGTCCACAGTTAATTTTGTGGTTACAAGTAATGAAATCCCCTAATACTATTTTTAATCTGTTTTCTTTTTGTATAGTTGGGATAATTTGAGATGTTTTGGGATTTTGTAAAAGAATATTCAAGTATATTTTCAATCAGATGTGAATGGGAAAAATACTTGTATATTATAATTACTCAGGTGTTGTTTGTTTTTTGAGACAGGCTCTCACCATGTAGTTCTGACTAGCCCTGGAGCTCACTAAGGAATCCAGACTGGCATGAATCCTAGAGATGCCTTCTTCTGAGTACTGGGGTTAAAGGCATACACTACCACACTGGGCATTGTTTCTCTCTCTCTCTTTGGGACAAGGTCTTATGTATCCCAGACTGGCCTCAGAATTGGTGTTGCCAAGGATAATCTTTTACTTTGCTACCACCTGGCCTGTATAATCTGACCCCTACACCCGAGTGCGGGGATTACTAGTGTGAGTCACCACATCTGGTTTATGTCATACTAGGCATCTACCTAGAACCTTGTGCATGCTAGGCTAGCACTGTACCAACTGAGCCACATCCTCAATCTTGTAATCTCCTTTTTTAAAAATGCACGTTACAGATGATAGCATATTTTTGTTGTGTGTCTGTGATGATCAGTATTTCACGAAACCTAACTAATATAATTAGTAGGCTGCTTTGTGAAAACTTTCCTTTTGTTTTTCCCCTTTTTCCCATTGCTTGCTAATAATAAATGAGCCGTTTTCAAATGCTGTTTTAAACTGTTCATCTAGTATTGTGATAATGTTTACCTTTAGTCTAATTTTGTAGTTGTTCATTCTATATGACTGGTAAAACACTGAAATCACTAAAGACTTATGTACTACTATCCATTGTGTATATGTGTGTGTATGTATATGTGTGTAAATCAATCTCACTATATTTTTGTAGTTCTGGGTATCACACATACTTGGGATGCAATTTATTACTGAGGTAATATCCCTAAGACCCCTTTATTTATTTAATTTTTTTATTTGCTTATGTTTTGAGACAGAGTCCTACTTTGTCCAGGATTGTCTAGGGTTCCTTAGTGACCTGCCTTTAATGTTGACATTACAGGGATGAGAAACCATGCCCAGCTATTTGTTTTTGTTTTGAGACAGAATTTTACTATTTAACCCTGGTGGTCTGGAACATGTCATGTAGACCATAAAACTCTTAGATCCTCTGCTTCTGCTCTGCGTACTGGGATCAAAGGCTGGCCTTTTTTTCAAAAAGATTTTTATTTTATGTACATGTGTATTTTGCCTGCATGTATGTCTGCCTATTTTATGCCTGGTGCCCAGGGAGGTCAGAAAAGGGTGTTCGTTCCCCTGGAAGTGGCAGTATAAATAGTTCTGAGCTGCCATGTTGGTACTGTGAGTTGAACCTGGGTCCTCTGGAAGAACAGCAAGTGTTGTCTCTTAACTACTGAGCCACCTTTTAAAAGACAGTTTCTCTGTGTAGCCTTGGCTGTCCTGGAACTTGTTCTGTAGGCCTTGAACTCACAGAGACCCTCTTGCCTCCTCCTGAGTGCTGTGATTAAGGCAAGTGCTACCACTGCTCTGGTGCTGTTTCTTTTTTTTTTTTTTTTTTTGAGACAGGATCTCACTCTCTAGGCCATGCTGGCCTGCAACTGGAGATGATCTTACTTCAGCCGTCCAAGTGCTGTGATTACAGACATGATCTATCATACCTGCTTTAAAATTTAAAACACAGAAGTCTGCCTGCCTCTGCCTACTGAGTTCTGGGATTGAAGGTGTGCAGCCACACCCACCCTGACAGATTACTATTTTGAAGTAGGTCCCAGCACATGGTGCATGATGACCTGGAACTGACGATCTTCTTACCTTAGGCACCTGTGAATGGCTAGCACCACAACTACCCAGCTTAAAGAATATACTGAGTCCCAAAAAGAGGAATATGGTATGTATTCACTCATAAATAGATTCTAGCCATAATTAAAGGTCTTTGAGCCTATTATTCGTGATCCTAGAGAAGCTGGATAGGAGGGTGAACCTGAAGAAAATTCAGGTAGTTTTACTCCTGGAGATTGGAAATAGACAAGAGTCCCAGATCCTTCATCTGGCGATGGATGGAGATGGAGACGGAGACGGAGACCCACATTGGAACACTGGACTTAACTCCCAAGGTCCAAACGAGAAGCAGAAGGAAAGAGAACGTGAGCAAGGAAGGCAAGATCAGAGGGAACCTTCATCCGATGATGGATGGCGATACAGACGGAGACCCACACTGGAGCACCGGACTGAGTCCCCCAAGGTCCAAATGAGGAGCAGAAGGAGGAAGAACATGAAAAAGGAAATCAGGACCGCTGAGGGGTGCGATCACCCACTGATACAAGGGGACTGGTCTAATGAGAGTTCACCAAGGCCAGTTGACTGGGACTGAGCGAGCACGTGATCCAGCCAGATTCTCTGAATGAGGCTGGCCCGGAGTCTTTCTGAAAAGCCATTGACAATGACACTGGGACTTGTTTCCTCTGCATATACTGGATTTTTGGGATCCAGTCTGTTTGGATGCTCACCTTCCTGGACCTGGAGGGAGGGGGGAGGAGCTTGAACTACCCACAAGGCGGAGACCCTGACTGCTCTTGGGGATGGAGAGGGAGGAGGGGGGGGAGTGGGAGGGGGTTGGGAGGAGGGGCGGAAATGGAGACTTTTGTATTTTAATAAACTTTGAGGAAAAAAAAAAGAATACACTGAGAGTACATAGAAAATCATTTTAATTCTGTGAGTTCGAGGCTAGCCTGGTCTACAAAAGCTAGTTCCAGGACAGGCTCGAAAGCTACTACAAAGAAATGCTGTCTCTCTCGAAAAACTAAAATAAATAAATAAATAAAAAAGAAAATCATTTTAAGTAGGCTGAGAAGAGCCAAGAAGGTAACTATGATCATCACCTGGGTTTAAGGTGAGTTTGGGCTACACTGCAAGAATTAGTTTCAAAAGAAGAACAACAACAAAAAAAAGAATTAGTTTCAAACAAAACTCAGCAAATGTATATTTTTCTCTTTTACATCTGTTTTCTAATTCTTAAGACTTGGTGACTATTAAAAATGTAACTTATAGCCCTGGGCCAATATTGCCAGTAAAATTCTCTATACCTGAACATTTAAATTGAACATGCTCAGAGTGCTTGTTCTTTGTAACTTTATTAGTGGCCACTCTTCTGTTAGCTGAAACTCAAATCATTTTAATGCATTTATGTCCACTTATCTATATAATAAGACCTAAAATTGGTCATAATATACAACCTGGTTATATTATCTTAATCTTTACTACTCTAATTTAGAATTAGTACTCATCTATGATGTGGGGTTCCCCTCTGTATGCTGTGAATACCATTGGTTAATGAATAAAACTACTGTGGCCTACAGCAGGGCAGAATTGAGTAAGGTGGGAATTCTAAGCAAATAGAGGAGGAAAAGAAGACAGAGTCAGGGAGATGCCATGTAGCTGCCAGAGGAGAAAAATATCCATGTGCTGGTACCGGTAAACTACGAGCCTCCTGGTAAAATATAAAATAATAGAAATGAGTTAATTTAAGATTTAAGAGCTAGCTAGAAATAAACTTAAGCTATTGGCCAAACAATATCGTTTCTGTGTGATTATTTTTGTATCTGGGCAGCCTGGAATGAACGAGCAGCCTCTGATTACACATCTACATGCTAATTTTCTGTTATCGTTTATTGTTGTTGTTGTTTTCGAGACAATGTTTCTCCGTAGCTTTGAAGCCTGTCCTGGAACTAGCTCTGGTAGACCAGGCTGGTCTTGAACTCACAGAAATCTGTCTCTGCTGGGATTAAAAGCGTGCACCACCACTGCCTGGCTTTATTATTGTGTTTTATGTTTTATTATAGTATATAAGATATTTAGAAATACAAGTATAATGCATATTTCCAGAAGTAATCTGCAATCAATTTCTTTATTTCTGTATGTATTCACATTGAATTTATAATAGTATTTAAGAAATTTAGAAATACAAGTATAATGATTTTTTAAAAAACGATACAGGTCAGTAATCATCCATTGCACTGTAGGTGTATATAGTTTTGACATTTTATTTTTTTTAAATCTTCTTTTTTATATTTATTTATTTATTATATATACAATATTCTGTCTTTGTGTATGTCTGCAGGTCAGAAAAGGGCACCAGACCTCATTACAGATGGTGGTGAGCCACCATGTGGTTGCCGGGAATTGAACTCAGGACCTTTGGAAGAGCAGGCAATGCTCTTAACTACTGAGCCATCTCTCCAGCCCCTAGTTTTGACATTTTAACTCTATGATTTCATGACCTATATCATATATTCAACATTCTTGGGTTTTTGTTTGTTTATTTTGGGTTTTGAGACACAGTTTCTCTAGGTAGTTTTGGAGCCTGACCTGGAACTTACTCTGTAGATCAGGCTGACCCCGATCTCACAGAGCTAGCTCTGCCTGCCTCTGTCTCCTGAGTCTTGAATCGAAGGTGTGCACCACTACCACCCGGCCTTGAATGTTCTCTTTAACATAAACTGCTGTATTGATATACTGTGATTTTGCTTAGTTTTGTTTTGTTTTGGGGGGGACAGGGTTTCATTGTGTAGCCATTGCTCAGTTTCTTATTGATAATCTGTATAGTTATAAATTATAAAAGCAAAGACATTTTGGGAGCTGTCTTGTGAAAAAGGACAGAGCAAGGTCAGCCCTTTAGTGCTCCCTCAATTTTTTTTTTGGTTTTAAGATACAGCCCTGACTGGCTTTATTTCGGATTCTCAATCTTCTGCTGCAAGCTTCAGACTTCCCAACCCAGATCCTGACAAATGATCTTAACTTGACCAACTACCAATATCAACTTCCTAACCCAGATCCTGACGAATGATCTTAACTTGACCAACTACCAATATCAACTTCCTAACCCAGATCCTGACGAATGATCTTAACCAACTACCAATATCAACTTCCTAACCCAGATTCTGACAAATGATCTTAACTTGGCCAACTACCAATATCTTTTTTGCCCAAGTTAACCACAGTCTGACTGTCCTTAGGATCAAAGACCCCTAACTAGTTGCAGATTTCTTTAATGTTTTATTATTAGAAACTAGATTGATAACTAATTCCTTAAACATTTTGGGTTGGTAGGCAAATATACCATAATCTATTTTTAATGTGTAATGTGTAGTGTTGCCATCTGATATACTTGAGGGCAAGGATTTCTCCATTTTGTTGAGAATCCCAAGCGCCGTACTATTTCCCACAATCAATTTATTTTGACTGATTTTTGAGTTAGAATATGTAGCTCTAGCTACTACGTAGACCAGGCTAGCCTCAAACTCCTAGAGCTCTGTCTGTTTCTGCCTAGTCATTAAGGGCTAAAGGCATGCACCACCACATCAGGCCTCCATAAAATTTTTGAGGTAAAATTTACACAACAAAATTAATAATTTTAAAGTGTAAACAGGATGTGGCTCACCTTTGTACTATCCCAGCACCAAGGAAGTGGAGGCAGGGGTTCAAGACCAGCATCTGCTGCAAAGCAAGTTCCAAGTCAGTGCAAGCCACATGAACCCCTACATGAGAACAAAAACAAGCATGTTAATACAGACAACTGTCCAACTGTCAACCTGCATCTATTTCAACCATAGTGATTTGAAGCGAAAGCATTTTCAACAATTGTGTGTTGATTACTTTGGGTTATGTTCATATGTGTGCATGTGATTTCCGGTTTCTGAGGTGGCCAGAAGAACATGTCTGATCTGGAGCTGGAGTTACAGGCTATGAGTCCAGAAGCTTTGTTCTCCCTACAGCAGCAAGTGCTCTCACCCTCTGAGCCATCTGTCTAGCTTCTGTCAGTCTTGTGTATGATTCATGTAGTTAAAAAGAAAGTTGCTAAACACTAGACGTTTCTTTCTAGGTTATTCTCAAGATTGTAGTTTATAAATAACTATGTAAGGAACTCACGAGAAAAATTAAGATTTAAACATTTGACCTCCTGTTGTCTCACACACCCTCAATTTCTTCAACCTAACTCGTCTCTTCGGGCAGGCAATTAGAGGCGATAGCCTAGGAAAGATAAATACAGTTTTTTTGTTTTGTTTTTTAACGTTAATCCCCGGTAGCAAAAAGAAGAGAGCAGTGGGTGGGATGTGGGTCCAATTGTCTCCCTAAAATGAGAAGCAGCGCCTGCAATCTGACACTCAGGAAGCTTCGAGACTATACCATATATCCAGTTCAACATGAGATACAGAGCCAAAACAAAAGAAACCGCCTGGTCACAATTGGAGCTTTCGAACTGCATTTCGTATGGTAGAGGAAACGAAGTCCTAAAACAAAACAAAGCAAAAAAAAAAAAATGCTTAAAGTTTGCGTTTCCTCCCAAACGCGGAAAGCAAACACCCTAACCACGAGTCCAGGGTTTCTTAAAGTGAGCCACAGACCTCAGACATCAGCGCAGAGGTTGCGGAGAGCAAACAGATCTCCCTGTTCCTACTACTTGGAGGCGTGGCTTCCAACTGAGGACCTCTCGCTCACCAGGCGGCCACAGCCTTTGGGCGGTAAAACCTGAGAGTCGGGTGCAGACACCAGCCCCGCCGCACCGCCACCCCAAGCTTGTGAGCAGCACGCACCACGGGAGCCAGGGCCCCGCCTCCCCCACCCGCCCCG